ATTCTACTAATAATCAAGTTTGAAAAGAAGTCAACATGTATTTAAACATGTTTATCTATTTCATGATTAATTATCTGAACTACTGTGCGTACATATCATTACAAAAATAAGAAAATCACATTGCTTGATAAAGTAGTAATTAAGGATATAGGTTCTGCTTTTTTCATCTTAGGGTAAAACCTGCAATTTCTTCTGAAACGTGTGTAGTTATTGTCCTCCTCAAACATGTTAATCTGCAAGTCAATGAAACATTTCTTTTGTGATGATAAATGTTATAGATTTGAGATTTATCATAATTGGAGAGATACCTTCACCAAAAAAGGGAAGAAAAAGTTGTTAGCTTTTTTGGGTTGGGCTTTTTTTTTTTTTAATTCTAGAGGAGAGAAGAATGATGATATCCTGATCGCTCCAATGTAACACATGTAGGTTACAATGACAAGACAGCTTGCTTTAGTCAGCCTGTACCAAGCCCATGTGAAGTGAGGTCAGTGACTATTAATCATTTGTCAAAGACTGCAGGCCCTTATCAGCCAATTATAGATGCAAGAAACTCTATATCACATCCACAAGTGGCAAAGCTACAAAGGATTTAAACCACAGTACAGTGGTGACACGTTTTATAGATAAAACATAAATCTGGACAAAATGCTGGCCTGAATTGCATCATATTTCCATTTAGCAATTTTAGTAAACACTTCAAAATATCACTGTTTTCCTTAACATTTTAAGGACCTTGTATGCTCCTTAGTTTTAAGAAGTTTCTTTTTTATTCACAACAAAACCACTGACGGAATCTAATTTAAACACAAAAAAAATGCCATTGAAGAAGCAACTGACTTGCATGTACAGAGCAGATAAATCTAGCTTATTTTACAAGTTAGCTACTGGACTGGCTTGAGGATGGTCCTGAATCCTACCACTTCAGAGCAACTGTAACACTCACTTTTCATAGCAAAACCTATGGAGATAAAAATGCCCATGGTTGCAGGTCAGAAGGTCACGGAGAAGAACAAGACACTGGAAAGGGTAGATGGGAGCCTGATAAAATGACATCTCCTTGCTTCTTCAGATTCTTGCTGGAATTTTGGGGCTGACAGTCTACATTACCAGCTACAGATGGACTCTCAGTACCAGTGAGGAGGCTTAAGACTCCCCTCCTGTCCCCACATTGGGTCATGATCATTCATCAGGTGGGGTGAATTCCAACACATAGGGCTGAATGGGTAGGGTGCACTATATACTGATGCATACAACACTTTCACATACCAGCCTGGCAAGCTTCCAGCAGCGCAGAGGAGATAGAGGTGGAGCTAACAAGGGAGTACAGTTTTATTTACTCCTGGTAATTCTGTGCAGGTAACCCTGGCAAAGCCCACAGCAGAGGCACAGACAATACTTCAAAAGATCATTTTCATTGACTGATATACTAATTAACTTCTGCAGGTTTCAACCACCCTTGAAAAAGCTGTTAGCTCCACATATATGGAGTAGTTTGGGGAGGCTGTTGATTTTAGAGCTGTTAACATATGAAACCCACCAGCCATTAATAAGGACAACAAATTAAACTTCAGTTTAACCATTATTTTCATTTGTGAATGAAACAGCTTGATCACTCGTTCTTTGGTTTGAGACCACTGCTCAACAGACTTTCTCATAAAATGATGCCTGTGCTGATCTTGTATTCTCAGCTATAGTCCAAATCAGACATTTACTGTCATCAAATTTCTGTGCCTGCAAATGACTATGAGAATACAATATTTTAACAGGTAGAGTTAAATGTCTAGGAAAAACCTAACTGGAAATTTGGCTGTGTACATTTTGTATGAAATTGCTTAAGTAAAATATATGTCTTGTGAAAGGATACCCAATGAAATGCTGAAATATTTGTGTCCTACTTTAGTGTGGTTTCTGGGGAACTGCTGTTTGAACTTCAGAGGAACAAATTTTATTTGGTAGCTTGGGAAGAGTTGAGTAGTATGCCAAGAGAGGATCTGGTGAGGCAATGCTTACAAAGATAGGTTTCAACTTATAAAAAAACCCTCTCTCAAAGATGGAAAAATCAGCTTTTATCAGAAATGAATTTTCTGCAGAGCATTTGTAGAAATTCAGAAAATATATTCATAAGATTAGGCTCAAGTGATCTTTTTCAGAGAGCAGCTCCACATTTTGCAGTTCAGTATGGCTGAAATTCCTCTAGAACGTTTACTTTCTTTCAGGATTTCCTTTAATGAAACCTCCAAACCTTCTATGACACACAAGTATTTTGGAGGACAAAAGCTTACTAAGTAGATGCAGGGTACATAGCAATTTCCAGCGCCTGCACTGGAGGAAGAAGTAACATAGATAGTTACAGCTTCCTATTTGGAGAGAAGAGAGCAATTCTGAAGTTCAGCTAGAACCATACAGCACATCAGTCAGTGGGAAGTGCATAGCTAAGGCTTGAAACACTGCGCATCATCTTGTTCATCTGGGTCTGTAGCCTTTGCAGTCAGACTGTCTCCTTTCATTAACTGGTTCTACGCCTTGCAAAGCAGTGTGATGTGGAGGTCATTTGTATTGCAGCAGCAATATTCTTGGCAGACTTATGACCTTTACCCAGTGGAACCAATGGAAAATGAGTCTAGCTGGGTCTTTTTATTGACTGCATTTCCATTATCTTCACAGGTGCTTTCTTTCCTGGCTTGTTCTTTTATCTTATGGACAGAAGCTACATTTACTGGACAATAGCTTCCACATTGCTCTCTTTTCATTTCCCAGAAAATATCACTACAACACTTTTTAAAGTTACTTGAGGCCTGTCAAATTCTTTACCACTCTTTACAACAAACTATTTGTTGTTTCAGTTAGTGCGTCACGTAACTGTCATCATGCCATGGCATTTATACCCGCTCATCTACATAGGATATATCAATTTTTCAAATATTCTGTGTATTCCCCTACACTGCTACAGTAGGCTTACAAAGACTTAGACATTTCCCAGTTGCTCACACATTACTTGTTAAAATTGGCTTTACAAACAGTTTAGGAACTAAGTTATAGAATCACCATTAATTTTATCTTCCTCTCATTTAGGTACACACTCTCTGTGAAAAACATTACAGAGTTTTCCATCATAAATGAAAGGTAATGATGTGAATAATGGTATTCAAGTCACAACATCTCCAGTTTTTATATCATGATGCAAACTGACCTCATAATTTTGTCATCTTCTGTATTTACAGCCCAATAATGCTTTTCTGGCAGTTCACAAGGGCTCCTGAATTTATGAGGCACTTCCAAGTTAGGTATTTTACGAATACTTTGCCTGCATTTCTCAAAAATGATTTCTAGAGAAATTTAAGTCTACTGTGTGTACTGGATTAAAATAGCATAAGAACTAAGTCGTAATTTATACTATTTTGTTTTAAATGTTATTATATGGAAATACAAGTTTTCATTGTTGATCATATTAACTTGATGTGATGAAACGCTTTATTTTTACAGATAATGGTGTTTATTCTGTTTTTCAGTATATAAAATGTACCGAGTACCAAATTGCTTTAGCACATACATAAAAATAACTTAATAAAACCTGACTCAACCAATGTATGGGCAAAAAGAAGACAAACAATGTAGCTTCCACTAAAATACAGGCAATTCTAATGCCAGCAGAATTATGAAATCGATTCTGGAATAAAGAGTCCTCGACAAAGTGTCAGTCACAATGTACCTGATATCTTACTCTGTGGACTACAGTCAAGTGTCACTGTCCACTTCATTCATTGTAACAATTCATAAGGACAGAGATAGTTCCTTTGATAACCAGCACCCAAGGCAGGGTGGTTTTCTAGACCAACATGAGCACTTTGATTTACATATGAAAGGGAACAGGAATCCAGCATTATACTTTAACTCCAGTAATATTGCGTGCACTAGGAAATATATGGCTGCATGTTGCAATAACTGATGCATCTGGGTGAACATGCACAGCAAGTTTCATAGTGTTCACTTCATAAAATCTAACAAGGAGGTAATAAAAATGTGGATGGCCAGTGAGACAAGTGACTGAAAACAACCGTGTGAGGAGAAATGTGTATTATCCTGCACAACTGACTGGCAGTGCACTATCATAAAACATTTCAGACTGTTGATAAAAGATAAAGAAGTTGGATCTGAAATGTCCTTTCCTCCTATCCCTCCCAACACACATACATTGTCAAGTTAAAACTTGGACAAGCAAAATCCACATTAATCACACCAAGTGAAAATGAAACAGGACTACTTCTTAAAATAAGTATGCTTCTTGTTCAGGCTGTTAAAAAATTGACAAAGTGATGTTGGGGTTTCACAGGTACAAGGCAGTTCTGAAACCGGACAATTAATTTTGATTGTCTCAATTTGATTATTTCTCCCTAGCCACCCTCTCCCCTTGTCTTCAAATCCCCATCTCACCTTAAAGTCACAGGGATTTTGTTGCTGATTTCAAACAAAACAGATCAAGCCGAAAACTTGACAACCAAAACATGTAGACAGGATCCCTTTGAACTATCCCACAGCGCTGTAACACCCTCTCCTGAGTGGGCTATCTATTGAAAAGTCCAGTCTAAGTAAGTAACATTAAAATCTTTTGTAACAAATAGATTCCCTGACACCTACAGTCACGTACAGAATTCTAGTACTAAGTCTTCAAAGCAGAGCGGGAGAGAGGGAGAAAGAAATAGGTGTATGTATGTCAGATGAGGAAGATTTGCTGAATCATGCATCAAAACAGGTATAGGAGCAAGGCCTATGTCAGTTACTTTAAATACAAAGTGGTACATCCAGAACATGCAGAATTCAGTTCTGCATTCCAGGACAACGCAGACATACTGCAGACAATGACTAAAACGAGCAATAGTAAAGCCCTCTGAGACAAGGCTGCAATTGAAAAGAGATTTAAGATTAAATCAAAGAATGTCACATTTAATATTCAGAACACTCTAACTGAATCCTTACTGCCTAGGCTATAACTGGAATCTTACCGTGGGTTGGAATGAGAAAGTGGGCTCATTTCTTTCTGATAGTGATGCTCCTGACTGATGGGCTATGGGAAACAAAAAATAATAGTGAGAAAATAACTTCGCAAATATTCTTTCAGAATGTTTAGAAGTATGTAAGAGATCTTTTATGAGCATACACATTTGCAGCTTCTGACAGTAGAATTTTACAGTCTTTTTTTCTTATCTGTGAAATTTAAAAGGGATATATTCAGATCCTAACTGTGCAAAAGTACAACTTAACAGATGATTCTTGTCTGGGTGGAAATACGTATGAATTAAGGAGTCAACCACATGGTCATTTCTCTACTGCCTGTGTGGGGACAGAGTCAGGAAACAGAGAGGGAAGGGTGGCAAAGTCTTGTCTGATAGAAAAGTCTGGACTGTACGTGTATAGGAAGCATGGTGCAGGGATTCTTAGTTGGATCTGTGCAGAACCAACCATTCTTAAGACTAGACAACCCTCAGCCAGAGCTAATAGGGCTGGCAGACACGGTTCCTCTTCTCCTCAGAAGCACCATTAGCAGCAGTCTTAGCAGTCCCAAATGAAGTTTGCTGAAGCACATATGCTTCTCTATGGCACTGCCAATTTGAAACCTTGATTAAGCTGTTCATGAATAGCTAACGGTGGACTGTATGAATATTCATACAAAATATGATGATTTTCCACAGTCTTCAAATCTTACCTACCCATTGTAAGAATGTGCCCCAAAGGTTTTATGCTATATTTGGTTTATGGCATTAAAAACAGTTATTTGCAAGAAAGATCAATATTCATAAACTGGTATAAAAATTCAAGAATCTTAAAATTCAGAAATACATTTTCTCTCAGTATGTATGTAGTGCTCCCAGAAGAGACCCCCCTTGCCATTATCACACACCTCAAAAGCAGTTCTAAAAAATCACTGAAGCAAATGCAAAACAAGTGAAAATACAAGCATACATTAACAATACTTGTACATTTTAGTACATGAAATGCTAAAAATAAATACTAAGCATTATGAAAGCAATTTTTTTTTTTCAGAAATCAATATAAAAATGAGTATGTTCTCATGGTTTCAGGAAATAGGGAGGGATGTTGTAAAATATACGTTCAGGATGAATGACATCCTAATTACTGCCAGATATGAGCCACTGCCTGGTGGTGGATAGTGCAATTCCCAAATGATGGCTAGTGGAAGACTGAGGATGAGATAGAAAGTGAATTAGTCAGTCTATGAACCAGAATATCTGTCTAAATAATTTTTAGTCTCATTTCACAGTAAAGAATAGTCTGCCTCAGTTTTGCAATTTGACTTGATGTGAACAGATCCCTCCAGGGGTTGTCAAACTGAGCTCTCTGTTGGAATAATTCTGGGTTTAAATATCACTCCTCTTGTCTGTCAGACTTCAGTTCTGCCAGATCATTTTTGTGTTAAGTGGCTTTCTTTTCTGAATCATTACAAAGGAGGACAGAAGACCTTCCACAAATTAGGTATGAACCTGGAAGTACCCTGTCAGATATTTTGCAGATCAAGGCCTATGTGACTGAATTTATATTTAGGAAGTTGCTTGGGGAACAAGTAATCTTTCTTCTCTGTGAGTACTCCTTACTCAAAAGACAGGTCTTAGTGGTGAGCGTATGCTGGAGTCTGCTCATGGAGCATTATACCGCTACAAGCTTCTAGGATATGTCAATGAGCAGTCTAGGAGAATCTTCCTTCTCTGCATTTCTGACTGACAATCAGGGACCATATGCAAGAAGATATCCTGAATTCTCTTATATATGATCTTGCTCTAGAATGTTTGTGTTATATCTGAAGTGGTGTCTGAAGTGTGGAAACGGCTATCTAAGAATGGGCCAATTCCCTGACAGGGCAGGAAGGTCTTACTGGATCTCTAGAACAAAGCAAAGCATTTAAGCAGAAATATTTTTTAAGCTTTGCAACTTTTCTTGGATAATGTGTATATGTGTGGGTATAAACTTCACATTACACTCTGCAGTATACAGATCTGTGTCTTATTGTTGCAAAGCTAGCATGGAATTTCATAGACCTTAAGATTTAAGAAAACATTCAGGTAAGACACAGTCAAATAAAGTCTTTTAAAATATTTAGTTCCACGTACACATATTATGTATTTGGAACTGTGCCCCACACGCATTTTACAAGGGTTTACAATTCTCCTTCAAAGTAAATCCATTTTAAAATAGAAGTTTTTCATATTTATAACTGATAGCTATGCTGGGTAATGTATAATATTCAAAGCTATTTTATTCCTTTTTGGCTCTCATAGTTTACAGCAGCTGCTAAACAACTTACATTTCAACGATTCCTCCTGACAGCATATATTCAGTTCTTGGTAAACTATCATACGCTGTAAAATATAGTTTTCATATATCTGTTTTATAGTTGTTTAAGGACATCTGTTCTAACTGCAACTTAGCAATATGATTGATCTATGTGCCTTCACATTCAGAAGGGTTTCTGAGTTTCATTAGAGTCAGTAACATGAGAATTTTCAATGAATCTGGAAATCAGACTAACAATGGCAAGTGATGGAAAAAATAAACTCACTAAAATGTTTTATATATAAAATACTACTTTGACGCATAAGTTCACTATCTAACGTGATTATATCCTGCCCTGCCTTGCAAAACATCATAGGTATTTCAAAATGAAAGATACACAGAAAGCTGCCTTCTGGTGGTGCTGTTGCCATAGATTCCACTAAAGGACAAAAATGTTGTATAAAATGAAGGAAAATTTGGAATAAAAATACTCCTTACTTATCTTGGAAGAACATAAGAGAAAGCAATAGATACTACTGATTTAAATAATCAGAAAGCTACAACCTGGAAACACATGTAAGCATGAAAGTTCAATCATGACAAGAATTTCAAGCTGTCCTTAATTTCTCAAACTACAATATGAGGATTATTTCTATTTCTTTTCTATATACTGCACTGCTAAAATCATTTGCCTACGCAACTGGAAGATGGCTACAGATACATACAAACTTTTCTGCAGTTTGTACATCTGATTTTGGAAGGATTGATCATTTGCAAATTCTCTTGACTCAAATGATAGTAGTACTAAAGATCGGTGACATAAAAACAAATTTGCTTTTATTCTACACATATTTTTTACATAATATATATAAGGAATAAATACATATATAAGGAACACTTATTGGTAAAAATTGGAAGCTGAAGAAACAATGACTGTACCCGTTTTAGGTCTTACGCCAAGTCATGCATGGCAGAAGACTGAAATCCGGGAGGAACAACCTTCGGACGTGTTCTAATGACTCCAGCTAGGCTGCATTTTGATCTCTCAGTTATGTAGACTACCTATGCATACAGTAACACATTCACTGCACATGTGAATGCTATGTGTGGGGATTCACTGAAAACAACTATATGAAATTATCTAATAGATTACAGATTTGAAAGCCAGAGGGAAGAATTAGATCAGCTCATGACCACATGTATGTCACAGGCTATTAAACTGTAGCTCACCAATAAACACTGAACAACATCAGGTCTAGAACTGAATGAACTGTGAAGTGGGTCCCTCTGAATATACTCGACTCACAGATAATTCTCTGCTGACTGCTTTTGATATTTGTCAGTTGACCAGTTCTAAATTCATTCAAGGTGTGCTCTATCAATATTGCATGCTGCTCATTTTTAAACAAGCATTTACAATGGTCTTAGCATGTTACATCTAAGCAGTTCCCTTATCAATTGTAACTTTATCAAGAAAATCAGATTTTTTTTTGAACAGGACGTTTTTTCTATAAAACGATCTTGACTATCATTAACCATATTACCACCCTTTAAATCTGTTAACTGAATCCCACACCAGATTTTTCACTGTTTTGACAATGGTATCAGACTAACTGGCCTACATTAACTTTTTCATTTCAGCTACCCATTTGAATACCGGCACAGCATCACTAAGCTCAAAGTCTTCTGAATGTTGTAAGCATATAAAAATATACTCAAATTTAACACCAGCATACCAAAAATGCCCCCAATTACTCTTTTAAAGCTTCTGTGATAAACAACTTGGGATGATTAAATAATCACCTTCCCTAATAAATGTTGCTTATAACCTTCTCAGATACTAAAGGTCTAGAAAATGAATTATCACCCTCACATGACTACTCTGCACTTTTCCAACTATTGGAACATAATTACATCAAGCAGTGTTAAACACACAAGTCCATACTCCAAAAACTTGTACCACATCTATGAATAGCTGGTGCCGTGGCAGCTATCTCAGAAAGGAAAATAGAATCAATAGATACTGCGGACTAAGCGACATTGTACTGGTACAGAGAGTCTCTTTGTGTAAAGGCAGAGGTATATGGATAAGGAAGGCCACGGAAGTTGTATTTCAGCACTAAGTGGTTAGTCCTTATCTGAGAAAGATTAGGTTTGCTTTCTAAATTACCTCTTCCTGGAAACGAAGTTCTTGCCATTAAATCCTAAAACCTCAGTACCCACCTTGCAAGACGCAGAGGAGAAACCTGACAAGGCTATATGTGCAAGACATGCCAACGCTTCAGTCAACTGACTGAAATTTGAAAAACTTCTCTCTCAAAGACAAATATGTTGCCTTTTATGCTTGATTTATGTAGAGAAAGATGGCCACAAAGGACTATTATGAAAAACTACAGCTATATTAAATTACCATTTAAATGACTAACCTGTTATATCTAAACGCTTTTTTAGACTGATGCTATTAGTCTGATGCCACAGAAGCTGATCAAGGCAGTAAGATCAAAGAACTGTTTTTGCAATCACATTGTGCTTCACTGAATACTGGATCAGTACGTTTTACTTTAAAAGTTCATTTTGGTTTAGTCATGTAATTTGTATTAACCAAACCTGACGTGTCTAAATATTCTTATAAATTTCCTTATAATTAAACTACTCAAAAATTAATGAGACTGCTATTCTCTTTATTTAATTGAGTTCCATTTGTCCAGTCTTGCAGATTTACACGATGTTTGAGTCTATTTAGTGAGTACTGAGAAAATGCATTGGAAATATGATGAAATCGACTAAATGTGTCACGTTGACGTATTTCAAATAGTTCCAATTTCAAACCAACTAATGTTTCTCTGATATCCTGCAAAATATTACTCTGTCAACCAAGTTCTTATTTGTACAATTACCCACTTATCGATACATCTCTTCTCATTTGAAACCTTCATTTACCAGTGTACCACAAAGTTCCAACACTGTGTTGATCATTCACTATGGAAGTTTGCTACTACAGGCCTCTATTTGAGCCCTATAGATCCCTGAAGGTAATTTGCATGTAACATTTTAGAGCATTTACTCTACAATAGTTTATATTGGGGTAACACAGCAGTGTTTACTCTTCTAACACTGGATCTGCCTCTAAGAGTTGTGTTGTGTGCTTTACTTAAGCCACATTCATTATTTATTATTGATTCACCTATAATAAAACTATGTTGCTGAGATATAAATCGAGTATGAGGTTATCTAGTTTTACAGCAGCTCCTGCAAGTACCTTTATATAGTTGCTGAAATGTTATTTTGTGATTTCATACACTCAATACTCTTTGGTGGAGTGTAACAAATACTCCTCTGCTGCTTATAACAGTACTCTGTCACATAGTGCAGCTGTGTGTGATTTTGTACTACTTTGTACCAGGACAAATAAGGATTCAAGGTGTGAAATACAGAAGGATCACATTCTAAGCGCTCAGAACTACTGCAGCTTTTTGCCACTGTTCTGCTTCAGTCCTTTAAACAGTTAGCTTTTCAGTAATGAGACTTTATCATTCTAAGAAGCAATTATTTTCCATTACTCACTCTGGGTTTCATTCATTTTGGAACTATTTTTAAGTACTATATCACACCTGCAGGTTGTCAGCCACTATTGTGACAAGCTGTACAGCCTACATGATTATTCAGGATTCTAGGAAGGAATATGTGTAACAGATTTGCTCTTTGTCCATGGTGGTACTACAGAACCTGCTTGAAGCGTGTGTTTTGGTTGTGTGTTTTACTTGGTAAGTTCTAAAAAACATTTGGTAATGATACCTTAAATTTCAAAGTTACTAAAAGAAATTTTAATATTCAAGAACCCTGAATCTCAGAATTGATACAACAGAGAAAATACTGTGGGTTTAGACTTACTGGTGGGAAACAAGAGTTCCAGGTTGCTGTATCATCACTGCTTATACTTATGCTAACATTGCAGTGGTCTATCTGTGATGCGCTCAGCTCATGTGAGATCCCAGTATCCCTTAATTCTTCATTTTGTTGTCTCTTCATGCTAGCCAGCATCTGTAGTTCAGATGAACTCAGTCTATTTGAATGGTAATTTTTCCAGTCATACTCCTGTGAAATAAAATGGAAAAGTCAACAATATAGACAGGATCATGGAACAGAATATATGAATGAAACAGATACCTTGGAGAATCTCTAGGGGAATCTTCAAGAAGCTACAATACTAAAAGAAAAACAAAATGTTTACTACAAAAGATTGTAACAGATTTCTGTTCAGCTATGAAAATCAAGCATATTTACACATAATTACAGGAAGGAAGAAGAACACAAACACTGTTATGGATGGCAGTTTGGATCCAGGGTGTTTGGTGAAGTTGCTGTTCCACTGCAATTAAAAACAGAAGATAAAAGCAGGCTTTCAGAAGTTCAAAACTCCAGCAGCTAAAATTGCTGAAGCATTAAATGCAAATCCTGGAATGAACCCAATCACACAGTTATCATAGTATCATAAACACCATCAACATAACATTTAGTTATTTGTCAAGCACAGTGTAAAATTTCTCTGGAAAGCTACACATGTCAGCACTAAATTTTAAAAGTTATTTTGGTAACTTGTTAGCATATACATTTTAAAATAAACATCACTGTATTTTCATTTTCCTTTATACTCATTGGTTGAATTGTTAATGTAACTCTAATCGTTATATCAAACTTGATCCATAGGCCAAAAGCTAAAAACATGTATTAACTATTTTGCAGTCTGTACTTAAGCCTCACACAAAACCTCATGATAAGATTGTTTACGTTCACCCAACCTGCTATGGCATTATCTTTGTTTAAAGAACTCCTTCTTTAAGAAAAACTTTCCCTTTTTTAAAGGGCCCACATAGGTTGCTGTTTCACAAAGGAACAGGTCTAATACTTGAGGCCTCTAGTTTTGATTCTGAATGGAATTACAAAGCATTTCTGCTTGAAAAGCAAATCCAAGTAGTGACCAGGACTTCAGAGGATTTAGATCACTGGAATATGGCCAGTGGACTGCAAGACACTACGTAACAGTGTCCCAGAGGGACAGTGCTTTGATTCTAGTGAAGAGAACGGGGCTTTTAGACCAGGAATTTATCATGTTCCTGGCAGAAGAGGCAATCTCACAGTCTGTTTTGCTGTGGGGGGGTACAGGGTAACTGAAGACCTCAAGAACACAAGCAAGTCAGCAGTACTAGTGATATGAACATTGCTAGCTTTTCCTGCTATGAAATCCAGTGTGTAATATTTCAGTGTGTCTTCTGGGGGTACAAAAGCCACCTTACGAAGACACACTGAAATACTACACACTGGAATTATTACAACAACCTCCTCTGCTTTCTTCCTATGTATACAAGACACATATCTAAGTCTTTTGTATGGATTATAATCATGAATTGGTCACACCTGAGACATAGGAAAACTTGAACTGCAGCTTTATCTTAGTAAGAGAAATAGTACAGCAACGTTCAATACCTTCAGGCTATGACATCACACAAACACGACATTTGCTTTTAAAAATACTCATGAATATATGCAAGTGATTACTAACATATTATATAGGTTCAATTATTCAGCTCCACAGAGCAATGACGCAAACAGCCCACAAAAGATGTTATACATTGGACATTGATTTCCTTATTTTAAGAAAATTGTGCAAAAAGATATGTATATATCCTAGATTGTCATGTATATTGCTTAGTATTTCACATGCAAAGCGCACACTTTCACTGGAAAGATTATATGACAACGCTGCTGAAAAAGGAGGTTATTTTCAGTGACACACAGTACTTTTTTCTGTTTTACAGAGTTCCATATACCTTAATAAAACTATATTTTCTGTGAATCAGAAAAGCATTATTGTCCATCTGATCCCCTTTCTTGCCAGCTTCTTTAGTCCTTGGGATCAGAGCAAAGCCAGATAATGAAGGATACCACATTACTTATTTCCCCTCCAGAAGTTTCACTGGGGATATGCTCATAGATTCATTCACTGTGCTGAACTCCAAGTATAGGATGTGCAATACAATGCACACTGGAAGGGAATTTTGGATCAAGGACAGATGGAGAAACCCTTCCTTTTTAATGATACATGTAATGGCATCATGCAATGTACAGAACCTTAATTTCAGCTCAAGCTCTAGAATATTTTACTATGTATTTGCAAAAATAGTTTTAGAATAAAAACATGTAGCATATTTTTATTTCCTCATGGGTGCCATAAAAGAAATCAACAGTTATTATCTCAATAATATGTAAAATAATACTTCCTATTTTAATTCTAGTTAGGAAATTAAGTACCATTCAGTGAAGATTGCTGCCCAACATTAACTTTCTGGGAGTAGCAACTCCATCATATATTTTGGACGTTTCATTCTGACTGCCATGATATTAGATTTCACTTAAAACCATCCATTGCAAATAACCAGTCAAAAAGAAAATTAGCACTGAAATAAAGTAAACTACCTTTGATGGGAAGTGTGCCTGCAAGCTGACAATCAGCAGGTAAATATATCACATAAAACAGGATTTATGACTGAAGGGTGCTCACATGGAAACAGTTGCATGTGCAAGTATGCAAATCTTTGTGAAAAAGACAATTAATTCTAAAGCCTATTGCAAACATTTTTGATTTTTTACTATGTATCTCAAATTCTTAAGTCAAATGTCTTTGCAAAGATTTTTCCTACGGAATCACCTCAAGCACTCAGAGGCTACTTTTTGGCACAGATAAATGCATTTTGTACAAGGTATAAGATGACAGAAGCTGTTAACACAGCTGCCACCCCTTTTTTACCTCTGGCTTTTGAAGTCCAAGCTTCATTCCTGAATAGTGTGATTATTACTACCATTTTTAATCCTAAAATAATACATGATGTTTTATCTAGACCCTTACTGAACATACGTTATTAGCTCAGTTACTATTAGTTATTTGTTTACTTCATATGAAGCTTGCCATGTTACGTCTGGAAAGTCTGCTTTGCTCTGATGTATTATTATTCTACCAGATCTACAGCTGCTATAACTTTTATTGATCTTACTGAAGATACTGATTTCCTGTTAATTTTCCTCTATAGAAGCCTTCTGCATTTATTTGATTATTATGGGAAGCTTCGGCCTATCCTTCTTACCTCATATAAGAAGCAATTGGCATGCAGTCATTAAAATGACAGCATGAAATAGTGCTATGCAGAATAAAAGCACTAAGCATCGAAAGAACATTTTTCTCATTCTCTTTTTAATAAAGGCAAAACATTGCCCAACCCTGCTTGTCTTTTCCGTCTATGAAGAAAGATGCACAGATTTTTGGAATTTTTACGAAACAATTCAAAACATTTGTTGTTTTTTTCTCCCCAGCTTATTTCAAATTGTCATTCTGTTTTCTTTTCCTGTAATGGTCTCACCCTAGAAATACTATACTCAGAAAGGAAAATAGATGTCATGACAGTTTTCTGTGTTAAACTTCCTGTACAATAAATTCCTTGTAATAAAGGAGAAATAGTTTGGACTATTTATTCTGTAACTTCAGATGACTACTACAAAAAAGCCTCTTCACAAATTTTATATTGTCTTAGCCAATTTTCAAAGAGAGAATTTGAAAACTGAATTTAAGTTCACTTTGTAATTTAGGAGAAACTTTTGATATAAGTAATTTTGCAATACTCACAAATTTGTCTAAAATTAATATTTCAGTTACTAATTAAAAGCTTATCTTGTCTTTTTGCATATCCTCCCCTTATGATAAAATATTTCTATTAAGCGCTTAAAACTTTAGACTGACAAAACCTGTTGTTTAAAGAATTTTTTTCGTATATAATGACATTTGCATTCTTCTAGGTTCAAATGATTTATTCAGAATTGTTTGAAGGTAGTTATACATGTGGAAAACTTTACCAGCTATCTACGTGCTTGCAATATTACCCAGAGGGCTGTACTTCTTTCTTAATTAAAAATATTTGAACTTAATAATAGAGAACTCTTAAAACATGAATAAAACATTGCAAGCAACCAGGTCTTTAAAGTGTATTAAGTAGTTAGCAAATCAACTGCAGGAAGAATTGGTTAAGCATTTTTTTTCTTTACCAGTCCTCCATACGAGCAGATTAGAAGAGAATATTTCTCTGTAAACTCTCACTCGAATACCCTTTCATATGAAACTATCCTTTCATACATAATTCTTAAAACAATGAACAGTGTTTCAAAATGGAAATCATGTAATTACATGCCCACAGCCAACAAAAAAACTACAGTATTGTCTCACTGTAGTTAACAATATTATAAGTCAGCGCTTCTTTTCTTGAAACTTGTGGGGACCTAGAATACTAGTTTCTTCCTGCAAAACTGCTCCAGCAGATACAAAAAAGCTTTACATATGTATGTGGTCAGAAAAAGGCCACATTCAAATAACTTATTATATTAATTTTAAAATTATTGGAAATATTCTTAATAAAATTAATAAAATATATATTTGACTTTATTCTGTAAGTGCTAGGTGAACATACATTCTAATATAAACAACCACTGTTTAAAAGGCAGTCAGTGGCACTCAAATTTGGCTTCAAATTTTGACCGTGGCCTTGTACAAAAATAAGTATCAAAGAACTCCAAGGAAAGGCTTCTGGTTGGGAAAATTTTATTACTTGATCAAATCAAGTATGAGAGCTAAATCTGCCAGATACTTTCATCTTATATTTTGTAGCAATAAAACAAAGTCTGTAACTCCTGAGTTTCTATTATCTCGCTATTGATAATAGGCTTTGTCCTTGCAAAAAATACTTACAAGCAACAGATTACATGTGCAATACATCTACATCTACAAGTGCAGTATGGTAATAATAACCCTACTGTCTAATTACTAATCAACTATTTATCGAGCAGAGGAAAACGATAGCTCATTTCCTTCACCTTTTAAAACGAAGTATCACAAAAAAGTTGTAAAATATATCTAAACACTTTAAAAACTTAATTGCAATCCACATAGTCCACATTTAGTTACGTGCTACAGGACAAAGTTGATCACTGCATTAAACACTGATAAAATCTTTCCTGAAAGTAATCAACATATCATTTCATTTGTTATGGACAAATAGATTACAGTTACGATTAGCAATAAACATAGTTGAATTTCAAGTGGAAAAATTTTCCAAAACTGAAAAGAATCAGAAAACAAGAGAGCAATACATTTAATCACAAAAACATGAGTAGTTACTGGAAACTAGAAAAAAAGAATTCCTACAGATAAAACTAGGAAGGAAAGGGAATGTAAAATGTAAACAAATTTTATTATACGCTTACAGATACATGGATATTAACACATCTAAGAAACAGAGAATCAGATTATCAGTATCAACTGGTTTCAACTGACTTCCTATCACTAAAAATTACAGAAACATTATCTTACTTCTTCCCAAATACAAAAGAACACGTGCATTGCACTCTTCCATATTTTCTACATTACTAGTGGCAATTCTAATGTCTTTTCCAGATAATAAATACATAGAACACATGCTGCTATTGGTAGGATTTTCTCTGCTTTTTAAAAGTTTTTTTTCTTTTTATTGTCTTTTAAGATCACCAACCACTGATATTTTTCATCACCACTAGGTCTCAGCACTGCTTCTGATTTTCACCTGCATTATTGTATTTCATTCCCCTTGCTTCCCCCTAATCTGCTTCCTTCCCAAAGGAAACCAGTCTCCACACCCTTCATGGAAAAGGATGTTCTGTTTTTATCAGGAAAAGTGCAAGGCCTTTACACAATCCAATAAGCTACTTGCAGAATACAGGAAGAGATTTCTAGAACCCTCAATCAGACAGACTATCTCACAGGATTATGAGACACACAAAACCCAACCCCTACACCAGTATTAAGAGAGACTCATTTCACAAAAAAGCACTGAAGCATCAGTGGCATGGCAGTATGAGCACTTCCCTACCAAAGACACACAGAAAAGCTGAACATATGCTTTCCTAGACACTATTCTTTAATCCAATGCCCAGTTTGGATTGCTCTTCCTAGCCCAATGCCCAGATTTCTATAAGCACAATTAGCTGCAGCGTGGTCCATCCTCAGCAGCCATAGCAGCCAAAAGTAGGTAGGTAGAACCATTCTGCATGATGACCCTGCCCCAGCAGTAGTAGCCTTATCCCATGGAAGTAGTCACTCCTGCTTCCCCTTTCACAGATGCTGTCAAATCAGGTAACTAAAACTAACTGTATCAAAAAGTAACAGAACCGCTACAGACTAAAAGTCCCATAGCAGAATGACAGCATAGCCCCCTGACTGGAATGGTGGCTGCAGTATCCTATAGTAGATGAGACAAACTACAAGGACAGAGAACACAATAATGATGGAAGACTTTCATTTCCTTCATGCAAACGAGGTATATGTCATGTTGCAAGACATTACTGTAGGTAAATTTTCCCAAAGAATACATAACTGCTTCATAGAGCCACAAAAAAGAGAAGCATCTATTCTTTTGGTCCCCAGCAGTGTGCAATACCTGGTTCAAGATACTACTATCCAAAACCCACTCTTACATTAATGATCATGCAGTAGCTAGATTCAACATCCTTGGGTAAAAATGACAAAAAAATTTCACAAAACAGCAATCCTAGGACTAAATACCATAAAACTCTGACCTGTAGAAGAGACAATTGCGGGAAAATACGATATACGGCCATCAAATAGTAAGTGGCACAGGTAAGAATAATAATTAAAAAAAAAAAGATTATTCATTGTTTCTTACAACAAACACAAGAATGAGAAAGCACCAGGAATGAGACAGTGCATTCAAAATAAATAAAAGGAGATATGTATTTTTTCCCACAAATAGCAGTTAAACTGTGAAATTCACTGTCACAAGGCAAAGGCCATATAAATACAAAAAGCAACTACACAAATCTGTGGAAGAAGTTCTACCACCAGTTATTTACCACAAAGACAACACATTTCACTGAAGAAATTGCTAAGCTATGGACTGCTGGAAGGAAGCCTGCAGGGCATGCTGGCGAGGTATCACTGGATGCTTGCTCTGTCCTTGCACTGTTTTTTTTCCCTAGTCATCTACAACTGACTGCTGCTAGACAGAAGATGTTAAGTCTTTGGTCTCATAGGGTATTAGCTGACGTCTGAAAAAAAGATCTCTGAAACCTGAGGAACAAGTTTGGCCTGTTACACTCTCAGATGCTCAGGAATAAAACTAATCTACTTGTAACACATTTAGAGAAGGGGTTACATGTTAAAAGATAGGGATCTGCAGTAATTCTAAGCCCGAAAGAATTCTATCCAAAAACATGGAACAGTAACATACTCTCTCATTTGTGATTTACAGAATACACTTGATTCTTAAACCCCAGTTCCCGATTCAAAGCACAATTCAAAGCACATCATTATAAGCTGAAAAGACAAGAATTAGCTATTAGGAAATATTTAAGACCGTAACTAGCTTCAGACAAACTTGTTCTTCAAATTACTGCATGTTTCCATAAGGAGAATCCAGGAAGAAAAACCTAGGAATAAAACAACACTTCGGTGAATGTAACAATTCCTTCAGTAGCCTGGCAATTTAGCCTATGATGCAGCCTTACTGCTGGCTCTCAATCATATAATTTATTATTTTTCAGGGCTGTCCC